CGACACATGCACCCACTATGACACCTCGTCTCGTGCCGACACACGTTGCTTCCTTCCCTGCTATTTCTGCCTGCTCCTCTAGCTCTTCAACCAGTCTCTTGTGGGGTACTATGTCGAAAGTTTTCTTGCAGTCCAAGATGTAGTCTACCCATCTGTTCCTTTGTCATAGAACTCCAATAGGTTTGTGACGCAGGATTTTCCTTCCCTGAAGCTGTGCTGGTTGTCATGTATGAGCCCGTTTCTTTCTAGGTGTTCCACTACTCTTTTCCTGATAATCTTCTCCATAACTTTACATACTATACACATTAGCAACACTGCTCTGTAATTTAGTGCAGCCTGTCTCTTTCCTTTATTAAAATCTGGGATTACCTTTTCTGTCTTTCACACCTCAGGCAGTTGCCCTGTGGTGCACACAGTGCATCTGCTCCCTCTCTCAGGACCCAAGGAGAGATATTATCTAGGCTCACTGGCTTCGGGGTATCTAGTTCCCCCAGCAGTTTCTTCACCTCCTCCTCCTTGGTTGTGTGCAGTGTGTCCAGCACTTGCTGGTACACCCTACCCTCTGGGTTTGCCTGAAGCATCTGTCTGCACTGAATCTTGAGCTGAGCTCTTTACATACTTCCTGGTCGTTCCTTGTGAGCTCCCCTCCTTCCTTCTTCAGTCTGATTACCTGGTCCTTGACTGCTTTTTCCTTCTGATGTTGGCTGTATAACAACTTTGGGTCATATTTTACTTTTGATGTTATGTCATTCTCATATTAATGCTGGACTTCTCTCATTATGTGTGATATTCATTTCTGGCTCTTCGGCTCAGCTTCCTGTTTTCCTGGGTCCTTTGCCTTCTATACTTTTTCCATGCTCTAGCACACTTGGCTTTGGCATCTACATACCTCCTGGTAAACCATGGGCTCACTCTGGTCTTCCCATTGTTTCTGTTGCACCTTGGTACAAACTTCTCCACTACTGACTCCCTGCACTTTGTGGTCACGTGTTCCATCATTTCATTTATTGTCTTTTCCTCTAGCTCACTTACCCACTGCACCTCATGTAGGAACTGCCTCATACTAGTGTAGTCCCTTTTTTGGAAGTTTGACTTCTACCGTCCTTCTTGTGCTGCTTCACTCTACAGTGTTAACTCTACTATGTATTCGAAACTCAGGACCACGTGACTGCTAGCGCCTAGGGGCCTTTCATGTGTGATATCCCCCTATGTCTGAACTGTTCAAGATGAATAAAAGGTCCAACCTTGCTGGTTCGTCGTCTCCTCTCTCTGGCTGTGTCCCCTAACATGCTGGTACATGAAGTTTTCCAGTACAGTCTCTAGCATCTTTACTCTCCTCTGGTTCACCATGTGGCTCCAGATTTTCCCTGTTAATCTCCTTCTGCTTAAAATCCCTCATGATGAGTAATTTTGCCCTGCTCATGTGAGCTCTTTTTTCAACCTCAGCTAGTGTGTCCACCATCCTTCAGTTGCTTTCATCGTTTACGTGTCTTGGCCTCCTGCTTTTCGGTAGCGGGTTGTACATCACTGCTATCATCACTTTGGATTCCCAGTTTGAAGTGTGTGTGTGTGCTTTACCTATTTGTACCACCTGTTTGTGGTTGCAGGAGTCGCAGTTCCTGGCCCCTCCTCTTCGCAGGTCGCTACCAGGTCCACTCTCTTCCAGCTTCAAGAGTCTTGTCGTACCTCTATGGATCCTGCCTCCAGTACATCACTCTGTGTGTGGGGGGGGGGGAGGAAAAGAAGGATAACGGGATGAAGGAAGAAAAGGAAAAAGAGGAGGAGGAAGAGCAGGAGAGGAAGAAGGAAATGGAAGGGAGGAGGATGAGGAGAAGAAGGAGGAGGAGGAGGAGGAGAAGAAAAAGGAGGAGGAGAAGGAGGAGGAGGAGGAGGAGGAGGAGGAGGGTGGTTGAAGGGTTGAGTGCGTCAGTGTGGGTGTTGTGGTTGTTGTGTGTGGCGGCGTTCACTCCTGCACTCTCTCTCTCCACTCATGCTCTCCTCACTGCTATACCATCTTAATGTTAAGTGCTAAAGACACACTACTGCTTCGTCAGGCGCTGGAGACATCACTGTTTCGCCAGGCACTGCAGACATCAGTTCTTCGTCAGGCACTGGAGACATCAGTGCTTCACCAAGCACTGGAGACATCAGTGCTTCACCAAGCACTGGAGACATCAGTGCTTCACCAGGCACTGGAGACATCAGTGCTTCACCAGGCACTGGAGACATCACTGCTTTGCCAGGCACTGCAGACATCGGTGCTTCGCCAGGCACTGGAGACATCAATGCTTCACCAGGCACTGCAGACTTGATACCAAACACATCAACGTCTCCAAGGTAAATTGATTAATGACATAAGTAAAGTATACCGAGCTGGGTTATACCGGGGGGATTATTACTTGTATTACTATTCCTCATGTGTGTTTTGATGCCTGCGTTTCAGTGTTACGTTGCTTGACACACAGGTACACATACGTACAGTTATCATACACAGCGTAAATAATCTAGGATAACCTAAAAAAAAAAAAACTCAGAAAAAGCGATTTATTTCCATTGCCCGGTCCTTGTTCACTGAAGACAGTCAACAATATCCAATACCGTAGTTCTGACGCAGCAACAACATTTGTACCTCACTGGCGCCACAACACTACGTTAACACAGCATTGCCAGACTCTCTCATAAGGTCCTCACTCCAGCACCAGCAGGTGAAGGACTCCCTCCGTCAGCAGACACAATCACCTTATAATGTTTTTTCTCTCACCAATGGAAATAAGTCACTTGACTTTTTTTGGGTTATCCCAGGTTCTGTATACAGATGATGCTATGTATGATAATCTGTAACTGTATTTGTGTATACCTGAATAAATTTACTTATTACAAGTACCAGTGCCTTTCCGTCAGCAGACAGACAGCGTCTTCACCACCTGGGACAGTATGTGTGACTATAGACAATGTAACAGCATACTGTCACAGCTGGGCTTCTGATTGTCTACAGTGAATACTGTAGCTGTAAATTGAATCACCCCAAGAACCCATCAGGCTTGCTGATGGGCTGGTGCCCGTGACAGAACCCAGAATGTGAGACAGAAGGAACCTGAGTAGTGAGCTGATGATCACAGTTGCAGCAGGTTTACCTGTTGGTTGGTTACTGGGGCACGTCAGTTTCCCTGTCTTCTAATATGTTATTTTCCCCCTATAATCTATCTTGTCCATAATTACTATCGCATTTCCTTTGTCTACTTTCGTGAGGTGAAGTCCAGGATCTCCAACACAAGTGTCCTCAAAGATTTAAGTTACACCACGAATTACGGAGAGATCCTGGACTTCACTTTACGAAAGCAGAGAAAGTAAATGCGATAATAATTATGGACAAGATAGACTATAGGGGGAAAAAATAAACATGATATTGGGAGACAGGGAAACTCAGGCACCTCTTAAAACGAGGCTTAAAATTCCATCGACTACAGGAGGGTCATTAAGGCTTATGTCACTTGCTCACCAACACACAAATACTTTAATCCCTAGAATCAAAATTAAACGCACTCTCAAGTGTATATAATACTATGAGATATATATATGCCTCTCGGTGTATATATCAGTATATATCTCTGTGTATATATCCTGAGGCAGCATACGTAGGAAGGTGCTTCCATCTGAGTCACAATAAGAAAGAAATACGTTTCAGAACAAGCCTTTATTGGAGCAACGTTTCGCTCTGTATGGAGTTTTATCATGTTGATGAGTAAGACACTTGTACAACACTTCCCCTGTCTACAGTCCATTCTCCCTGTGTGACTGAAGAAGTCTACTGTGTAGGCGAAACGTTTCAAAATAAAGATACCAAACTGTTGAACATGTGTCTTAATCATCAACTTGTCCGTATTTTATACCATCTTCAACTTCATCATGTTACACACTGACCGAAACGTTGTCATAATCAGTGCTTGTTCTGTGACGTCTCTTTTTCAGTCCTCTATTTTAATCTGAGCGAAGCTCTTGTTGAAGAGAAGAAACAGTCAGGAAGACGAAGACGAAGACGGAGACGGAAACGAAGACGAAGACGAAGACGAAGACGAAGACGAAGACTAAGACTAAGACTAAGACTAAGACTAAGACTAAGACGAAGACTAAGACTAAGACTAAGACTAAGACTAAGACGAAGACGAAGACGAAGGACGGAGAGACGGAGACGAGACGGAGAGAACGAGTCGTGAGACGGAGAGAAGACGAAGACTAAGGCGGACTACAGTATCTCTGTGTAAGACTAAGACAGACTAGTGTAAGGCTAAGTCAAAAAAGACGCAAACGGAGACATGGAGACAACGTTGATCGATCTGGAACGGAGTTTACAGACTGAGACGAAACGTTGTACAAATCCTGCTAAGTATCTGATGACTGAGACGGAAGCTACTGGAGACGAGACAGTCAGGAGACGGAGAACGGAGACGGAGACGGAGACGAAGACGAAAGACTAACAGACTAAGACTAAGACAAATGACGAAACGACTAAGACTAAGACAAGGACGAAGACGAAGACGAACGACGGAGACGGAGACGAGACGAACGGAGACGAAGACGAAGACGAAGACAAAGACAAGACTAAAGACAAAGACTAAAGACTAAAGACAAGACAAGACGGAGACGGAGACGGAGACGGAGACGGAGACGGAGACGGAGACGGAGAACGAAGACGAAGACGAAGACGAAAGACAAGACAAGACAAAGACAACGAGACAAAGACAAAGACAAGACGAAGACAAGACAAGAACAGACGAAACGAGACGAGACGAAGACGGAGACGGAAGACGGAGACGGAGACGAGAACGAAGACTAAACTAAACATAGACTAGATATAGTACATAAGACAACTGAAGAAGTACGAGACGAGACCGAGGAGACGTTTAAGAGACGAATGTACGAGACGAAGAAACCGACCGACGGACGAGAGACGGAGACGAGACGAGACGTGCAGGAGGACCAGGCAAAAACATATATCAATTTTATTTTTTCATAAAACGAATATGGACGAGTCGAGATTTATAACAATGGTTAAAGAACCGACGAGGCTGGAGGTGTGCCAGGTGTGCAGGTGTGCCAGGTGTGCCAGGTGAGCCAGGTGTGCCAGGTGTGCCAGGTGTGCCAGTGTGCCAGGTGTGCAGTGTGCCAGGTGTGCCAGGTGTGCCAGGTGTGCCAGGTGAGCCAGGTGTGCCAGGTGTGCCAGGTGTGCCAGGTGTGCCAGGTGTGCCAGGTGTGCCAGGTGTGCCAGGTGGCCAGGTGACCAGTGGCCAGGTGTGCCAGGTGTGCCAGGTGTGCCAGGTGTGCCAGGTGTGCCAGGTGTGCCAGGTGAGCCAGGTGTGCCAGGGTGTGCCAGGTGTGCCAGGTGTGCCAGGTGTGCCAGGTGTGCCAGGTGGCCAGGTGAGTGTGCCAGGTGTGCCAGGTGTGCCAGGTGTGCCAGGTGTGCCAGGTGGTGTGCCAGGTGATGCCAGGTGTGCCAGGTGTGCCAGGTGTGCCAGGTGTGCCAGGTGGCAGTGTGCCAGGTGTGCCAGGTGTGCCAGGTGTGCCAGGTGTGCCAGGTGTGCCAGGTGTGCCAGGTGTGCCAGGTGAGCCAGGTGTGCCAGGTGTGCCAGGTGTGCCAGGTGTGCCAGGTGTGCCAGGTGAGCCAGGTGTGCCAGGTGTGCCAGGTGTGCCAGTGTGATGTGCCAGGTGTGCAGGTGTGGCAGGTGTGCCAGTGTGAGTGTGCCAGGTGTGCCAGGTGACAGGTGTGCCAGGTTGCCAGGTGAGCCAGGTGTGCCAGGTGTGCCAGGTGTGCCAGGTGTGCCAGGTGTGCCAGGTGTGCCAGGTGTGCCAGGTGTGCCAGGTGAGCCAGGTGTGCCAGGTGTGCTAGGAATGTGCAGGGCCTGGTACTCGAGCCAACAGGTGTGTTAAGTGCGTCAGGTGTGGCAAGGAGGGGTGGGTAGGGTCTGGCACTCAAGTGCCAGGGGTAGGCAGGACCTGGCACTCAGACCAGCACTTCAGAGGTACAAGAGAAGGCATTTGGGTCACTGCTTGAAGCATCTGCAGTGACTTAGAAACACGCCACTGACCATACTGCCCCCCCCCCATCTTCCTCTCCCGCTAAATCATTTTTATCATTATTGGAGGGCGCTAAATAAGCCTACCTATATACATTAATTTCTTGGACTTCGAAAGCACTACTGCCAGTCACAAAAAAATTAATTATTGGCCAATGTGAAGGCGCTCATCTTGCTGACGTACTGGCAGTGAATGGTGACTGTGATAGGTGTTAGCCCAACACTCTCTGACAAGTGTCACTTGTGTCCACACCAGGAGGAGAGACACTCACACCTGGGGTGTTAGCCCAACACTCTCTGACAAGTGTCACTTGTGTCCACACAGGAGGAGAGACACTCACACCTGGGGTGTTAGCCCAACACTCTCTGACAAGTGTCACTTGTGTCCACACCAGGAGGAGAGACACTCACACCTGGGGTGTTAGCCCAACACTCTCTGACAAGTGTCACTTGTGTCCACACTAGGAGGAGAGACACTCACACCTGGGGTGTTAGCCCAACACTCTCTGACAAGTGTCACTTGTGTCCACACTAGGAGGAGAGACACTCACACCTGGGGTGTTAGCCCAACACTCTCTGACAAGTGTCACTTGTGTCCACACTAGGAGGAGAGACACTCACACCTGGGGTGTTAGCCCAACACTCTCTGACAAGTGTCACTTGTGTCCACACCAGGAGGAGAGACACTCACACCTGGGGTGTTAGCCCAACACTCTCTGACAAGTGTCACTTGTGTTCCACACCAGGAGGAGAGACACTCACACCTGGGGTGTTAGCCCAACACTCTCTGACAAGTGTCACTTGTGTCCACACCAGGAGGAGAGACACTCACACCTGGGGTGTTAGCCCAACACTCTCTGACAAGTGTCACTTGTGTCCACACCAGGAGGAGAGACACTCACACCTGGGGTGTTAGCCCAACACTCTCTGACAAGTGTCACTTGTGTCCACACCAGGAGGAGAGACACTCACACTTGGGGTGTTAGCCCAACACTCTCTGACAAGTGTCACTTGTGTCCACACCAGGAGGAGAGACACTCACACCTGGGGTGTTAGCCCAACACTCTCTGACAAGTGTCACTTGTGTCCACACCAGGAGGAGAGACACTCACACCTGGGGTGTTAGCCCAACACTCTCTGACAAGTGTCACTTGTGTCCACACCAGGAGGAGAGACACTCACACCTGGGGTGTTAGCCCAACACTCTCTGACAAGTGTCACTTAGCAAGATACAGCTAATAACAATGGCTCTCAAGCTTGTCGTGATATAATTAATAATTCTAAGGTTATAATATGATAATCTCTGGGTTAAAACAAGGCGTGTCTGGGGAGGCAGGTGTTGTTAGTCACATGAGAGCAGTACACACGGCCAGGTTGGACATCACACAGCGATGTGAGAGTGCTGGGTAGAGAGTGAGAGGTGCTGGGTGAGAAGTAAAAGTGTCTGGGTGAGAGTGAGATGCTGGGCGGAGTGAGAGTCAAGGTGCTGGGCGAGAGTGGAGTGCTGGGTGAGAGTGAGAGTGGCTCGGGTGAGAGTGGGAGCGAGAGTGCAGGTGTGAGAGTGAGAGTGAGAGTGCTGGGTAAGAGTGAGAGTGCGGTGAAGTGAGAGTGCTGGGTGAGAGTGAGAGTGCTGGCGAGAGTGAGATGTGGGAGAGTGAGAGTGCTGGGTGAGAGTGAGAGAGTGCTGGGTGAGAGTGAGAGTGCTGGGAGAGTGAGAGTGCTGGGTGAGAGTGAGAGTAGGTGCTGGGAGTGAGAGTGGAGAGTGAGAGTTGGTGCGTGGGTGGGTGAGAGTTGAGAGTGCTGGGGAGATGAGAGTGAGAGTGCTGGTGAGAGTGAGGAGTGCTGGGTGAGAGTGAGAGTGAGAGTGCTGGGTGAGAGTGAGAGTGAGAGTGCTGGGTGAGAGTTGGAGTGAGAGTGCTGGAGGTGAGAGTGAGAGTGCTGAGTGAGAGTGAGAGTGCTGGTGAGAGTGAGAGTGAGAGTGCTGGGTGAGAGTGATGAGTGAGAGTGTGGGGAGAGTGAGAGCTGTGAGAGTGAGTGGTGAGTGGAGGTGAGGTGGGTGAGAGTGAGAGTGCTGGGTGAGAGTGAGAAGTGGGAGAGTGCTGGATGAGAGTGAGAGTGCTGGGTGAAGAGTGAGAGTGCTGGTGAGAGTGAGAGTGCGGTGAGGTGGAGGAGGCTGGTGAGAGTGAGAGTGAGAGTGCTGGGTGAGAGTGTGAGTGGAGTAGAGAGAGTGCTGGGTGAGGAAGTGAGAGTGCTGGGTGAGAGTGATGAGAGTGCTGGGTGAGAGTGAAGTGAGAGGCTGGAGGTGAGAGTGAGAGTGCTGGGTGAGAGTGAGAGTGCTGGGTGAGAGTGAGAGTGCGTGGGTGAGAGTGGAGTGAGTGAGAGTGCTGGGTGAGAGTGAGAGTGAGAGTGCTGGGGTGAGAGTGAGAGTGCTGGGTGAGAGTGAGAGTGCTGGTGGAGTGAGAGTGCTGGGTGAGAGTGAGAGTGAGAGGTGCTGGGTGAGAGTGAGATGAGAGTGCTGGGTGAGAGTGAGATGCTGAGGTGAGAGTGACGAGTGCTGGGTGAGAGTGAGAGTGAGAGTGCTGGAGTGAGAGGTGAATGAAGTGAGAGTGCTGGTGAGAGTGAGAGTGCTGGGTGAGAGTGAGAGTGCTGTGGGTGAGAGTGGTGAGAGCGAGAAGAGTGCTGGGTGAGAGTGAGAGTGAGAGTGCTGGGTGAGAGTGAGAGTGCTGGGTGAGAGTGAGAGTGCTGGGTGAGAGTGAGAGTGCTGGGTGAGAGTGAGAGTGAGAGTGCTGGGTGAGAGTGAGAGTGCTGGGTGAGAGTGAAGAGTGAGAGTGTGGTGAAGTGCGGTGTGAGGTGAGAGTGAGAGTGCTGGGTGAGAGTGAAGCTGAGAGGTGCTGGATGAAGTGAGAGTGCTGGTGAGATGAGATGAGAGTGCTGGGTGAGAGTGAGATGTGTGGGTGAGAGTGAGAGTGAGAGTGCTGGTGAGAGTGGGAGTGTGGAGTGATGGGTGAGTAGGTCAGAGTGAGAGTGCTGGGTGAGAGTGAGAGTGAGAGTGCTGGGTGAGAGTGAGAGTGCTGGCGAGAGTGAGAGTGAGAGTGCTGAGTGAGCAGTGCTGGGTGAGAGTGATGAGAGTGCTGGTGAGAGTGAATGAGTGAAGGCTGGATGAGGTGAGAGTGCTGGGTGAGAGAATGAGAGTGCTGGGGAGAGTGAGAATGCTGGGTGAGAGTGAGAGTGAGAGTCGTGCTGAGCTGCTGGGTGAGGTGGAGTGAGAGTGTTGGGTGAGAGTCAGAGTGAGAGTGCTGGGTGAGAGTGAGAGTGAGAGTGCTGGGTGAGAGTGAGAGTGCTGGGCGAGAGTGAGAGTGAGAGTGCTGGGTGAGAGTGAGAGTGCTGGGTGAGAGTGAGAGTTCTGGGTGAGAGTGCCCCAGGTCACCAGAGTGACACACCAGAAGAGTGCCTCTGACAGTGCCGTCACCACCACAATATACGTAAGTGGTTCATTGATTGTCTCAACATCTCGTCATCAGGATACACTCCAGACAGTAATGATGGCTTCACCCTGCTAGCCACTGATGGCTTCACCCTGCTAGCCACTGATGGCTTCACCCTGCTAGCCACTGATGGCTTCACCCTGCTAGCCACTGATGGCTTCACCTTGCTAGCCACTGATGGCTTCACCCTGCTAGCCACTGATGGCTTCACCCTGCTAGCCACTGATGGCTTCACCCTGCTAGCCACTGATGGCTTCACCCTGCTAGCCACTGATGGCTTCACCCTGCTAGCCACTGATGGCTTCACCCTGCTAGCCACTGATGGCTTCACCCTGCTAGCCACTGATGGCTTCACCCTGCTAGCCAATGATGGCTTCACCCTGCTAGCCACTGATGGCTTCACCCTGCTAGCCACTGATGGCTTCACCCTGCTAGCCACTGATGGCTTCACCTTGCTAGCCACTGATGGCTTCACCCTGCTAGCCACTGATGGCTTCACCCTGCTAGCCACTGATGGCTTCACCCTGCTAGCAACTGATGGCTTCACCCTGCTAGCCACTGATGGCTTCACCCTGCTAGCCACTGATGGCTTCACCTTGCTAGCCACTGATGGCTTCACCCTGCTAGCACTGATGGCTTCACCCTGCTAGCCACTGATGGCTTCACCCTGCTAGCCACTGATGGCTTCACCACTGCTAGCCACTGATGGCTTCACCCTGCTAGCCACTGATGGCTTCACCCTGCTAGCCACTGATGGCTTCACCCTGCTAGCCACTGATGGCTTCACCCTGCTAGCCACTGATGGCTTCACCCTGCTAGCCACTGATGGCTTCACCCTGCTAGCCACTGATGGCTTCACCCTGCTAGCCACTGATGGCTTCACCCTGCTAGCCACTGATGGCTTCACCCTGCTAGCCACTGATCGCTTCACCCTGCTAGCCATGATGGCTTCACCTTGCTAGCCACTGATGGCTTCACCCTACTAGCCACTGATGGCTTCACTCTGCTAGCCACTGATGGCTTCACCCTGCTAGCCACTGATGGCTTCACTCTGCTAGCCTCTGATGGCTTCACCCTGCTAGCCACTGATGGCTTCACCCTGCTAGCCACTGATGGCTTCACCTGCTAGCCACTGATGGCTTCACCCTGCTAGCCACTGATGGCTTCACCCTGCTAGCCACTGATGGCTTCACCCTGCTAGCCACTGATGGCTTCACCCTGCTAGCCACTGATGGCTTCACCCTGCTAGCCACTGATGGCTTCACCTTGCTAGCCACTGATGGCTTCACCCTGCTAGCCACTGATGGCTTCACCTTGCTAGCCACTGATGGCTTCACCTTGCTAGCCTCTGATGGCTTCACCCTGCTAGCCACTGATGGCTTCACCCTGCTAGCCACAGATGGCTTCACCCTGCTAGCCACTGATGGCTTCACCCTGCTAGCCACTGATGGCTTCACCTTGCTAGCCACTGATGGCTTCACCCTGCTAGCCACTGATGGCTTCACCCTGCTAGCCACTGATGGCTTCACCCTGCTAGCCACTGATGGCTTCACCCTGCTAGCCACTGATGGCTTCACCCTGCTAGCCACTGATGGCTTCACCCTGCTAGCCACTGATGGCTTCACCCTGCTAGCCACTGATGGCTTCACCCTGCTAGCCACTGATGGCTTCACCCTGCTAGCCACTGATGGCTTCACCCTGCTAGCCACTGATGGCTTCACCCTGCTAGCCACTGATGGCTTCACCCTGCTAGCCACTGATGGCTTCACCCTGCTAGCCACTGATGGCTTCACCCTGCTAGCCACTGATGGCTTCACCCTGCTAGCCACTGATGGCTTCACCCTGCTAGCCACTGATGGCTTCACCCTGCTAGCCACTGATGGCTTCACCTTGCTAGCCACTGATGGCTTCACCCTGCTAGCCACTGATGGCTTCACCCTTGCTAGCCACTGATGGCTTCACCTTGCTAGCCTCTGATGGCTTCACCCTGCTAGCCACTGATGGCTTCACCTGCTAGCCACGATGGCTTCACCCTGCTAGCCACTGATGGCTTCACCCTGCTAGCCACTGATGGCTTCACCTTGCTAGCCACTGATGGCTTCACCCTGCTAGCCACTGATGGCTTCACCCTGCTAGCCACTGATGGCTTCACCCTGCTAGCCACTGATGGCTTCACCTTGCTAGCCACTGATGGCTTCACCCTGCTAGCCACTGATGGCTTCACCTTGCTAGCCACTGATGGCTTCACCCTGCTAGCCACTGATGGCTTCACCCTGCTAGCCACTGATGGCTTCACCCTGCTAGCCACTGATGGCTTCACCCTGCTAGCCACTGATGGCTTCACCTTGCTAGCCACTGATGGCTTCACCCTGCTAGCCACTGATGGCTTCACCCTGCTAGCCACTGATTGCTTCACCCTGCTAGCCACTGATGGCTTCACCCTGCTAGCCACTGATGGCCTCACCCTGCTAGCCACTGATGGCTTCACCCTGCTAGCCACTGATGGCCTCACCCTGCTAGCCACTGATGGCTTCACCTTGCTAGCCTCTGATGGCTTCACCCTGCTAGCCACTGATGGCTTCACTCTGCTAGCCTCTGATGGCTTCACCCTGCTAGCCACTGATGGCTTCACCCTGCTAGCCACTGATGGCTTCACCCTGCTAGCCACTGATGGCTTCACCCTGCTAGCCACTGATGGCTTCACCCTGCTAGCCACTGATGGCTTCACCCTGCTAGCCACTGATGGCTTCACCCTGCTAGCCACTGATGGCTTCACCCTGCTAGCCACTGATGGCTTCACCCTGCTAGCCACTGATGGCTTCACTCTGCTAGCCTCTGATGGCTTCACCCTGCTAGCCACTGATGGCTTCACCCTGCTAGCCACTGATGGCTTCACC